TAGAAATAATATTTCTAAAATTTTTTTATGAATTTGCAATAAAAAGAAATGTAATTTATTAACAAAAAAAAAACATAAAAACCAAAATGCCTCTTATTTATTGAATACCATTCCCATATTATTAATAAAAATATTTTAGATTTTAATATTCAAATTTGAAATATTCTTCTTCAAATAATTCAAACCTTATTTATTTTTTCTTAATTTAATTTAAAAATAGCTGATTTTAAATTTGAGTTCAGATAGTAAGATTGCTGCCATCCAAAATATATCAGTTAATATTTAAATCACAGATTTATATTTGCAAATTATCGGAGGCTCTACTCTTAATTTAGGATATCAAAATAAAACGGTCTTAAGTACAGATTCGAGGGATTATGAAATTTAAGATCAAAATTCCCCTTCAAATATAAACTTTAGTTGGAAGTGTACTAGTCTAATCTCTAATGACCTTATTTGCTATGATTACTAGAATAAGTAGATCTAATTGTAGCAAGGAATTAGTAGTATTACATTTCCTGGTAAAACTTTCTAGCCATACACAATAATTTAGTTAACTGTTGTTGGATAAAAAGATTCTAGGAAATCAAATTTCACTACTACTTGTATATTCACAGAATTAGATATTCCTCCACTAAATATTGTATAAACTGCAACGAGCATAAAGAAAAAAATTAATTTGAATGATGATCTTAATTTTTAAATAATTTATGGTGAGAATGTTTCGTCAGATTATTTGTCTTATGCAGGAGCTATATTATATGATAATAATCCAGTTGCAGCTATCAGATTTGATTATTTTCAAATTAGATTCAGAATTTGGAACTATTTTTAAAAAATAGATCCCTTAAGGCCAACACTTTAAATAAGATTTTCTGTGTATAATCCATTATTTGTTATGCCAAGCTCATCAATAATTAACATCTAAATTAATATTCCCCCTCAGAATTGCGTTTTAAATATAAATCCCTTATAAGGTATAGCCCTCGAGACTATCTTCTAAATTTAATTCTTGAATTGTAAAGACGAAGATCTTCCTCTTACTTACTAGTTCTTCTACTACAACAATGCAGATGATGCTGATCAAGAATTAGTTTCTCCATGGAATATATTAAGAAGATAAATATAAGATTAAACTATAAACAACTCAATTTAAACAATACTACCTACAGGAAATCTAGTTGTTATGGTGCAAGTTATGGATTCTTACCTAGGAGTATATAATACCTCTTCTATAATATAGGTTCAAGCTTAGAATAAATCAGCTGATGAATATTATAAACTTGTAAATCAACTCACTTCATAAGCTTTATAGAATAATTAAGTCACTAACTAACTAGTGACTTTAAGCATAATAGCAGAAGATATCAGTAAAAACAATTAACTTTCATAACAATTTAATGATTTGGTTAGTCTACTGATTTAAAATTTATAGCAATTGTCTTTCTAAATACCTAAATTATCCCTTTTATCTACATTTGCGAACAAGGTAACTGCTTAGTTATCCTAACTACTATTTAACTCATCTTAATAAAACAATGTTGCTGCATAGAAAAACCAAATATTTGATTAGCTGTAAACAATACTCCAAAATACTAATTCAAGCATTCAAAGTAGTAATCTTAGTCATTTACAATAAAATAACGATATTCAAATTCAAAATGTAGTAGATTCTTTTAAAATTTTAAACTCAAGTGTTACCTTGCATACTAATAACTCATAGGAAGATATTTAATCCTACGATAAAATATCAAGTTAGATTGGAAATCTGCTTAATAATATAAGTTTACCAAACTAAGGACAAATTACACTAAATGGTCACTTTTCAACTCTTTTGTCAGATAAAGTAACATAGAAAAACTTATTCAAATATGTTCTAACTGTAGATGACAACAATTAAGTAAATTAAACTAGCATATTTAGTATCTCAAGAAATAATTATAAACAAAATATTTATCAAAATACTTCAGAATTTTAAGCATACACATAGCAATTCAAAAATATTAGTTAAAATTTCACTTACTCTATGAATGAAGTAATATCACCATAGATTTATAATTCTTCTTCTTAAGTAACCTTAAACCAGTCTACTATTGTCTACTAGTTCAATAATACAAATTCTAGTAAATTATATAATATGACATGCCTCTAATAAAATAATCTTTCATGGAGCAAATAAAATTGTAATATAAATAAAATTACTTAAAATAATTACATTTGCTTGTGTGGATCCTAAAAACCAACAACTATCATTGAAGATATTGATGACTTGTTCTTAAAAAATAAAAATCTGTAGACAGCATTTGGAGAATAGGGGCTATTAAATATAGCAAGCTTTGACAACTTTTATATGTATGTAGTATTTTGGCTATTGTTAAGTTTTACATTTATACAAATTTTTTTATTTATCATTGGAAAATTCTTAGACAAATACTCAGTAAAATTACGATACTAAAAAGTTCATAATCAAGAACTAAATAACTAATAGTAAAATGAATAATTATAAGAATAAACATAACAATAATAATAATAATAATAATAAATTGATGAAAATAACTAAAATATTTGTGAAAGTTCTTAAATGATAAATAAAGATGTTATATTGCATCACTCTCCTTTTACTGATTAATTTAAAAGTAATTAAAATATCTAACCAGAAATTGAGTAAAATCAATAGGTTTTATCACCTTTTGATTAAAATATAGGTAATAGAAAAAGAAAAAAAAAAAAATTCCTAAAGTTACAGACATAACAAACCCAAAAAAACTTAAATCTATTTTAAGAATAAAATATTGAAACGAACTAAGAGAAAGTCGAATCCAATTAAATACAAATAATTAAATAATAATCAAGTTCTAATAGTGTTGAAAAAATAAAAACTCAAGCATGCTCATAAAGCTAGATAAAATAAGTTTTAGATGAAGAGGAAATTTAATAAATTAATGTTTATTTGTAACTTCCTAAAACAAAAAAAATAGCCATTTTTCATTAATTTTTTAGTATTTTTTACATTTTTGATGACAACCTTCAACGTCCATTAAGATTCACTCTGCTTTACTTAAAAACAATACACACATTAGTTATTTCAATACTATTTTAAGGTTATAATATGCTCATATAGCAGGTACTAATAGCAATAATTAATAGCTCATTGATGAAGATCGCTTTTTTTGGAATTCTATTTACATTCAAAAAAGGTTCTATTGGTAAAACCATATCTTTAATTTTATAAATAATAATAAGCTTAGTCTATTACTATGTTATTTTAGCAGTATCTAGTGGCAAAACTCCAAGTGAATCGAATTAATTTATAATTCTATTTATAATAACATTTCTAACAGAAATGGTATTCATAGAGTTAATAAAGTCATTTTTTATGATCTTTTTGATTCAAAAATACATTAAAAGTAATAAATCCGAAAATATTTTTGGTAAATTATATAATTTGTTTGATTTAAAATAAACAATACTTAATATAGATGTTTGAGTCATATTTGCTTTTTATATTTTTTGTTTTTCATTTCAAAATATCGCCTTTTAAAATTATAATTATTTTTTTGAATTAAGTCTATTTTTAATTTAAAATAATTAATTATTGTTAAGTTTTTAATTTTAAAATCTTGATTACTAATGTTTTTTGTGATAAAAATTGATAATTTTTTTTAGGTCAAAACTAAAGAATATGCTATCGATTAAAATCGATATTTATCATTTTTGTAAAAATAAATTATGACAGAAAACTCCAAGAAAAAATTAAATTTTGGTAACTAGTATATTACCCACAATTATATATAAATAAATTGGTATACGTATAATAATAATGTATAAGTAATTATATATAGGGCCCCTATCCCGAGTGCATGTAACCATGTGCGAGTATGTATGTATGTATGTATAGCCAATTTAATTGTCACTTTTTAAATATTGAAGAAAAAATATAAAATTAATTAGTAATTTAGATGGAAAAAATGAAGAAAAAATAATAAATAAAAAGAAATTAATAAATTATAAAAGCAAATGTTGAAAATAAAAAATGATTTAAATTAAGAAAGATAGTAGAAAAAACAACAAAAATACAATAAAAAAGAAAAAGAATAGTAAATCAAATTATAAGCTAATAAACACATTAAAAAAGCTAAATTGTTTTAAATTCATTTTTATAGTTAAAAATATCACTATTCAAAACAAATAAAATGTTTTTACTAAAGATAAAGTGTCAAATTTGAGATTTTAGGGCAATTTTTTAAACCAGAGCATAAGCCTAATGCACCTTAATCGCCAATTTTATTTTCACTTTTTAAATATTGAA